GGTTCTAATTTTAAATCATTTGCTGACAGTGTGGGCGTAACACCAGAAAACCTTTATTTCAAAGTTGGAACCCAAGAAATTATTTACATGTTTGACCCTCCTCATTTACTAAAATCAACCAGAAATAACTTTTTTAGTTATAGATTAGTTTCTGAAGACAAAATTATTGAGAGCATAAATTTAAAACAATTTTATAATTCTGATGCACAACGAACTCATCGCCTAGCTCCTAAATTGACAGAAAAACATATGAATCCTGGTTCATTTCAAAAAATGAAAGTGAAATTTGCATCTCAAGTTTTCAGTAAGACTGTTGTGTGTGCAATGACAACATGCATGGCAGATGGATCACTTAAAAGTACAGCTGCTGATACAATAGAATTTATAGATGAAATGGATAACCTATTTGATATATTTAATTCTCGAACAAAAATAAAGCCACAAAACGCTTTTGCATGCCCTTTAAAAATGCTGGATATCAAAAAAATTTCTTATTAAAAATGTTCAATTTTTTTAAAAATGTCAATCTACAAAAATTTAATACGTCAACAAGGCAATGGGACAACATTAAAAAAAGTTACAACATTAAATTTTTAACAGGTTGGATGATTTCAATAGCAGGATTAATAAGATTACAAGATACATTATCGAAAGAATATGGTGAAGAGATTGAAATAATGACAAGGCGGTTAAATCAAGATTGTTTGGAAAATTTATTTGGATCTATGCGTAATCAGAATGGTAACTGTATAAACCCCACAACTATCCAGCTACAGCGTACTTACAAAAAATTATTTTCCTTAAACTATTTTGAATATAATGAAGGTGCTAATTGTTTGTATGATTTAGACCAAGTATTGACTACCCTGAGCAAAATACCAGCAGAAGATTTGAAAACAATATTCCCTGACAAGCAGAAAGTAATTCACATTAATCCATTACCCATTGATGCAACCCATTACAGGTCATTAGAATTACCAGAAAGAAATGCTTTTACATATATATGTGGTTATTTGATTATGAAATGTTTTAACATGCATTCTTGTGAAACATGTATAGGATATGGCAGATCTACCACAAAGTTATCTGATGAACTTTTTTTTACACACTTCAAAGCACATCAACATACAGTTCTATATCAATGTTTTCATTGTTAATGACCCCAGATTGTAATTTTTACCAGTATATTTTTGAATTAGACACTATATTTACAAATCAATTTCCTACTTTAGCACCATTACCAAAAGTAGGGCAAAAACTAAAAACTTTAATGTTAAATGTGTACTTTGAACATCCCTAAGATTTAGAATTTATAATACGTTAACCAGAACCAATCGAAATTTGCAAATTCCTCGCACAAAAAATAGAAAATTGCAAATTTTATGTAATTTATAAATATTTTTATGTATATATTATTTTTTTATTTGCTAATGTAGTTAGTAATTTTGTATAAAACATGGTCTGTAAATAAAAGAATTTAAAAAGTAGTTATTAATTGGTTATTTTATGTTAAAATGTGTTGTTATATCATTTTATTATCTAGTTTGTATATTTTGTATTTAAGTAAATTGTAATTCTCTACCTTCAACCATAGAACATTAATGTTCTATGCTTTAACACAAGCATGTCTTATACCCTTATAGAAGGTAGATAATGCATTGTATATGTTAAATAATAAGTAGGTACCTCAGGGGCGGAGTGGAAACCAAATCCAGGCCGGGAGTTTAAAATTTATCCAGGCCACCCACCAACATTTTTTTTCTCGCTAAGCTCGAATTTGGTTTTTCTATTTACCTAGGTATTTGAAAACTACTTTTAGTATTATAAAAGTATTTCAATCACTATCTTGCTATTTCTTTTAACTTCTGTCTTCTAACACATAATAGGTATTAATATACCACTAAGTACCTACTTATTCCTGAAAGTCTGAAAAATAAAATTAGTAGGTATGGTTTAATAGTTCATAGTTGAAATCAACGAAATATTAATAATTATACTATACATTGTGTTTTAATTGTTTAGGCATAGTAGATATAAGGTAATAAGTAATAGATATATACAAACATTGTAAACAATATATTATAATGAAAAAGATTTATACATTCATAGTAATAATTTAGATAATAGATTAGATTTCTCACCAACTGCATTTATGATAATATTGTTATCTATTTCCATGAGAATTTTATTTTCAATGGCCATAAGCATAAAAGACTCAAGATAATCATTGGTCATTGAATTTCTCAGCTTAATTTTTAAATACTTCAATGTTTAAAATGGGTGTTTTATTATAAAAATAACCGACCTATTACAATATTACAATATTATATTGCTTTGATTTTATTTGATGTCTATATTTATGTGCCAAATATTTTGTAATTTTATATCCAAAGCTTTAATAATTAATTAATTAAAAAAAAAAAAATTAATAGAAACAAACATTTAGCATTAACTAATATTTTGTAAATTAAATTAAATTTAAAAAAAAAAATCTAACAAAATGGCCAGGCCACCAGGCCATAGTATGGTCCAGGCCATCTGGAAAATTCCCATTTCCAGACAGGCCACTCCGCCCCTGAGGTACCTATACATTAATAAATTAAAAGGTTTTAAAAAAACTATTTACAATATTATTAAATAAATATCTTAAAAAAATATACTATCTGTAATCCGTCCATCGATCATATTCATGTCGTAAAAGTGGTAAAATATTAAAAATTAAAAAAAATTGACGTAGTATTATTATAATTTATTTATTAGTTTTCATAGTCAGTAAATTATAATAACATCTTAAAATTGAAAAAACTAGTTCGGCCGTAGCGTTCATCATGAACACACGTACGCTGCATCGTATATCGTATACGCTCCGTTATCGCCTCGCGCGCTCATTAGTAATTTATTACGGTCATTATTAACTATCAGTTCCAATTATATAATATTATAACAAGATTTAATATGAACAACGTACAAAAAGCCGGTCCCGCTTCACCGCTTACACCAAAATCCACAAAACGAAATTTGTCAACCTCGTCAACTTCGCCAAGACAAAACGACAAAAAATCCAAATTCTAAGTTTCATCAAATCGTTATGTCCCACTCTCCACTGATGACACCGTTGACATAGCTCCTACTTCGTCTTCAACCAACCCCAAGGATGATCCTGTGAACCAGACTCACACTGAACGAAACATGGGGCCTCCAGCTCCACCTATCTATATCAAAAATATTGTAAACTACTCCGCTTTCAATAAACTCCTAACAAACATCACCAATTCGAATGGCTTTACCTGTAGGTCAACGCCGTCTCACCTCATCGTGCAACCAGCTGGTCGTACAAACTTCAATAAAATCATAGACCACTTACACGAAACTAACGCCAGTTTTAATTCATACACCCCCCGTCACCTTCGCACATACAGGGTCGTTATCAGAAACCTGCACTCTACCACCTTAAGCAATGACATTATCAGTGCATTGGCTGAGTTGGGACACTCAGTCAAACACATATACAACGCCAAAAATAAAAACAAATGTCCCCTACCTTTATTCTTTGTGGATATCTTAACGCAAGACAATAACAAAGACATCCTAGACATCAAGTCTTTACTCAATACTAAAGTATTGATTGAGAAACCACACAAAAAGAGACGTGGCCCACCACAATGCCACAACTGTCAATCCTACGGACACACGCGAAATAACTGCTGTCACAAACCTAAATGCGTTAAATGTGGTGAAAACCACCTTACAAAAGAGTGTTCTAAAGACCGACATAGTCCCGCCAAATGTGCACTTTGCACTAAGGAACATACTGCTAACTTCAAAGGATGCCCAGTCTACAAAGTTGCCTACAAAAAAACCGTCCATCCAGCCAAAGGATCTGATTCCAACACCTATCAAAAAACCAAATCTTACGCCGAAGCCACCAAAAATCACCAAAATTTAAACGCGGAACTCAAATTCACCGACACTCTCTCAAGTATTATTTCTAATTTAAACTCACTAATTACTCCCCTTATCTCACTTCTTTCATCAGTCCTAAAAGCACTCACAACTAATAGCATTCCATAATCTTATCGACCAGTCAATTCACATTAAAACTTAATTAGTAATTAAAATTTATATTTATATAATATCTTATCTCCCATTATTTTTACTCCACAACAACATCACTATTAATTTCTGTTAATGAAAAATATGAAAAATGTTAATATAATGTAAATGTTTTAAAAAAAAAAAAAATGTAAAAACAAACACTTTGTTGAAACAATTATAATTTAATAAATGAAAAAAAAAAAAAAAATTAATTTTAATACTCTTATCGCACGATTATCAACAAGAATGATGTTGTAAGCTTGGCGGTAAGATAAGAAGTTACGAACAATTTCAAGGCCATGAAACATTCTAGACTCATTAACGTTGGCCGCCCGAGAGTGTCGCTTCTATATTATTCTATGGTTATAGGCTATAGCCGCTAGACATCAGCTCTGCAATTCACCGCAGGATAGCAATATATACACTACAGGTATATGTGTATATGTATTGTATTGGTTAATATATTATGTATCTATATTTTACTTTTGTTTTTGAAATTATATTTGCGCATTTCACATTCACATTTTCGTCAGTGGTCAAAGGCTTGTTTTAAATCTTTTCCAAAGCATGAACAATCAGTACCACATAAAGAATCTAGTACATACATTTAACGAAGCTAAACAATCTGGTAGTATAATCAATAAAGTTAATACACAATATAATCAAGAAGTTGCTGAAAATAGGGAATATTTAAAGTGTGTTTTAGAAACTTTGCTTTTCTGTGACCGACAAGGTATTGCCATAAGATGACATAGAGAAAATGAAGAGTCTCAAAATAAAGGCAATTTTCAAGAATTATTAAATCTTCGTTCTAGAGATAATGATATTATAAGACGTTATTTTAGAAAAAGAAAATAAACTTTCGGTATGTGAGTGGAGAATATTTAAATAAGTTTCTTGGATATATGACTCATATTGTTGTCAGAGATATTGTGGATAATGTGTTAATTGCTGATATTTTTAGTATAATTGTTGATGAAACACAAGATTTATCAAGGCACAAACAAGTTGCAATTATTTTAAGGTATGTTAATAATGATTTTTCCCCAATTGAAGCTTTTTTAGGATTTTATAAAGTTGAGAGTACTGATGGTTTAACACTTTCTTTATTAACAAAAAATGTTCTTATTTCTAATGGATTACAACTTGAGTGTTTAAGAGGACAATGCTACGATTTAGCAGTATCCATGCGAGGTGCTTACAAAGGAGTCCAGTCAAGAATCAAGGAAGAAAATCCTTTGGCTTTGTATGTTCATTGTAATGCACACATACTTAACTTATGTCTTGTTGATCTATCTAAACAAATATCTCATGTAAAAAATGTATTTGGTACTTTAAGCACTTTACATAATTACATTAATACTTCATCTAAAAGACAAGCTGTATTTGACAATATGCGTTCAAAGTTAAATATGAAAATGGGTGATGGGCCATCTACTTTGAAAAAGTCTTAGTGATACTCGTTGGAGTTGTCGAATAGATGCTTTAGAGTCTCTGTTATTTAATTACCAAGTTGTGATTGACTCGTTGGAAAATATTTCAAAAATGATTCAATAAATGGTTCAGATGCAAATTCATTGTTAAAATCAATGTAAACATTTGAATTTTTATTTTGTGTTCATTTTTTCAGAGACTTTATGTCCATTACCAATATTTTGTCAAAATATCTACAGAGTTCCAATATTGACTATTCTAGTGTACAACATATGACCAAAGCAACTATTCAAGAACTCTCTAATATGCGATGTGAACATAAATTTGATATGATATGGAGTAAAGCTAATGTTATGAGGATAGATAATGAAATATGTTCCCCAATACTAAGTAGAAAATTAAAAGTTCCTAAAAAACTTGGTGGAGGTTTAAAACAAAATGAAAACTGTAATGTTAAAGATCATTATAAAATCAACATATATTTCCAAGTTCTTGATACTATAATAAGTGATATGAAAGAAAGATTTAAAGAAAATGACATACATATTTTAAACTAAATGCAATATATAAGTAAATGAACCAATAAAGTTCACTTCATTTCAAGATGTTAGTACAATGTATGGTTTTAATGAAAGTGAACTCAAGGCTGAAACAAAGATATTCAATAGGATGTACAAAAGCCTGAATACTGAAAATACTATCCAATCTAAAATAAAATATATGAGGTCAGGCGATAATGCTATTGAGTTTCCAACATTGGCAAAATTATATAAACTTTTTTTTAACTATACCAACAAATTCTGCAGCATGTGAAAGAACCTTTTCTTGACTCCGACGATTAAAAAACTATTTAAGAAGTACTATGGGACAATCTAGATTAAATCATTTAGGAAATTTACAAATAGAACGTGAAAGATCATTAACCCGTCGTTGGTCGCGTGGTGAGAGATTCTCTCATTACGATATTATTTTGGTCACCATTGTCTGTTATATCGGTTTATTGCCTATTAGTTGTACTATACCTTATCAGATACAGATAATCTAAAAATATATGGGCACTAAACGACTTAGTAATTGATTATATACTGTCAGTATCCGTTTAACACGACTCGTATGCACACGGTGAGAGAAATTCTCTATACGCGACAAAAAAAAAAAAATTACAAAAATTGTTATGTGTAATGTATTTTGAAAAAAAAGAAAATATACATAAATACTGAAATATATATAGTTTATAAGTTCTCATTTATATGATAAATATATTTTGGAAGTGTATTACATATTATAAGACTTATTGAAGAAAGTGAGAGAATCTCTCACCACGCGACCAAAGGAGTACAAAAAAAAGACGCGACCAACGACGGGTTAAATATTAATAACGATGAAGTCATAAAACAATTTGACTCATCTACAACACCACGTCGTTTAAAGTTTAATAATTTTTAAAACTAAATTGTTATTCTTAAAATTGTATTGTTTTTTATTATATTTTTTTATAATATAAGTTATGAATTAATTTATACTTATGAGTAATGTTATGATATAAGTGATGAATGTATTAGTTATAAAGTACAAAATGTAAAAAGTAACCAAGTGGTGTATTAATAATTACTATAAACAGGTACATTAAAATAAAGAACAACTAACAATGATACTGCTGTAATTTTAAAATTATAAACAGTTATAATTATTATTATATTATAATTGTTAGTGATTATGTGATTAAGTTTAAATAAAAGTAATGTTTGTGGCTAATTATAAAAAAATTAAATTTATAGCTTTTAATAACTTGTATTTATATATAAAAAGAATTATATAGAAGAAAAATAAAAAATAAATTATATTAACAAGAATATTATTATACTTAAATATTAAACATTTTTTTTTCCATCCTTCAGTGTAATCACCGTACATTAGAAAATCAAAAAGAAACCTAGAGTATTCTCAATAAAATATTGGCCTAAAATTGCCGCCCCTAAAAATTTTCCGCCGTGAAACTATTACGGTTTAAATATGTATCAGTTAAGTATGTTCTTTTATGCCACAACTTTTTGTTTTCCCTAGACAACGGCAACACGACAACTTGGAATTTATGCGAAATGCTCCACCTGGATCATTTTCTGAGTTTCAAAAATTTGGATGGATGCAGAAAAAAAATTTTGAATGCTGGTTAGGAAGCTTATAATTTTTGCTAATGCTTCTAAAGATAGACCAGTTTTACTCATACTAGATGGACATTCAACACATACCAAGAGTATTGAACTGATTAAAATGGCTCGTTACAATGGAGTTATACTTTTATGTTTTCCACCCCATTGCATTCATAAACTACAACCACTAGATGTAGAGTTTATGAAACCTTAAAGTACATATTATGATAAAGAAAATACTAATTGGCTTTGTACAAATAGAGGTAATGTCATTGTTCTTCTTCACTAAAACATACAAATATTCTACTTTTTGCTGATGACGTTAAATTATATAAAACTACTTACTCTGTTTCTGATGCCTTGAAGTTACAATCAGATTTAGATGCATTTTGCGATTGGTGCACAAATAACGGCATGGAACTAAATATAAATAAATGTTCAATTATCTCATTCTCTCAAAAAAAAAACCAGTCTTGATTTTAATTACAAATTTTTAAACCTTGAAATCCAACGTGTATATTTAATAAATGATTTAGGTGTATTTTTCGACACAAAAATGAATTTTAAACAAAATAGGTATCAATAAAATAAAAAATAAAGCATCTTCGAAGTTAGGATACTTAAAACGACAATGTTCAAATTTTAACAATCATTTCGCATTAAAAAACATTTATTTTTCTATTGTACGTTCTCAACTAGAATATGCTGCTTTTATTTGGTCTCCTAATTCCTTAATTCTAAATCAAACTCTTGATTCCGTTCAAAATTCTTTTTTACGTTTTTATCCTTCAAATGTAATGTAAACGCCTTTCACATTCAGGTTATGAGGGAGTATCTAGTTTTTTCAACATATCTACTTTGAGAAATCGTAGAAAATATCTAGCTTACATTTTTCTTTTTAATTTATTAAATAAAAAAATTGAATGCCAAGAAATACTAGAAAGACTAAATTTTAAAGCAAAAATTAATTTAACTAGAAATAACGATTTATTCACTTTGAAAAATATACGAACCAATTATTCTTTTTCATCCCCAATAAATTCACTGATGTCTATTGCAAATTCAGTTAACTTAGATTTGTTTTTTTTGTAATATAAATAGTATTAAATCAGCATTTAATGTTTGATTAGGTATTTAAAATGTATTTTTTGTTTTGTTTCAAAGTTTTTAATTGTTCACGGTTAATTCAGTCTAAATGTAATTATATTTAATATATTGTAAACTATACTTATGCTATACCTAGGTTAAAATAATATGTAATCACTTATCACTAAACTAAATATTCATCATATGTTTTGTTATACTGTACACTATATATTAATATTGTAAATGGATTTATTCCGTAAATAATAAATAAATAAATAACATTCAAACAAGTCGCAGACAATTTTGGATTATATTAAGCTAATTCTATATCAACTGCTATCAATGCATTTAAAAAAACAGGAATATGGCCATTAAATCCTGATATTTTTACGGATACATACTTAATAGCTGCTGAAACGATAAATACTTCATAGTATTGAAAATAATTCTTTAAGAATTAATCAGAACGATGCAATGGATAACCTGCAAATAGAAAATATTCAAATAGAACTGTAATACATATTTTTAGTTTTGACGTAGTATGTTTAATATATATTTTTTTTTAGATATTCGGACACTACCGTGCATATCATACACTTTGTTATTGTGCTATATTGTACTCTCATCCACACTCCAACAACGCATCAACGACCGGCTTACCGCGACCACAGCACCAGAACCGCCTTAGCCGTGTCAATTGGCTCCCCGCAGAGGAATCGTCACCTCAAGTCAGCGCAAAGGTAAGAGTTTTCACGCTGACACATACCTCGGATTAATTGCTTATATTATAACTTTAGTATTAAGATATTTACCCAGAAGTGTGTCTTCACATTAGCTAGGATTCCCAAATTAGAATTACGTAACAAGTATTTTAGTACGTAGAGGGGAAATCCGAGCGAACCGAGAATAAATGTGAGACGGCTGTATGAAGCGGTTACATAACAACCGCCACTCGGCCCAACGCTTACCTTTCGTCTCGCGGCACTACCGCCGATAACAACAGAGCGTGCAGGCCAAAAACCGGTTCAGCCGCCGCAGTCGAGGTCGTTGACCCAGTACCGCTATTTTTGGTATTTTTGGCACCATCGACAGCTGATCTGTTTATGTAATCGTAAAAAGTAAATATAAATTATCGTAGCTATCGCCCGAAATTTACGTAAAACAAAAAAAACAAATCCCCTACACCTTACACACCGCGCAGCAAGCACAAGCCACCAACTATACAAAAGTAGGACGTACCAAATTAATTGAACACGAAATTTAAAGACCCGTCCCCAATCGCGCTCAAACCATACCCATATCCGCAGCAGAAACAAACCGCTATCGACGATATAGTGCGCGATATGGAACTCCAGGGGCTCGTAGAACCTTGCACCTCACCGTGGGCCGCACCAGTAGTATTGGCAAAGAAAAAAGACGGATCATTTCGCCTCTGTGTCGACTACAAGCGGCTTAACGACGTAACGGAATCCGACGCGTACCCTATGCCAGATCTCAACAAAATGATTAGGCAAATTCGGGGAGCGAAAATGTTCAGTATTTTTTATCTTTGCTCGGGGTACTGGCAAGTACCCCTACACAAAAATGCACGAAAATACACAGCATTCCGAACGCGTAGAAGGCTATTTCAATTTCGAGTCCTCCCTTTCGGTCTCAAAAATAGTCCAATGATTTTCTTGACTCATGAACGAGATCGTGAGGGAGTACCAGGATGAGTTCGTACAAGTATACCTAGAGAATATAGTTGAATTTTCAAGGAACGAGTTCGAAACTCAGGCCCACTTAGACAAAGTTCTCGAGCGTCTCAAGAGGTTTAGACTAACGTGCAACACAAAAAAATGTAAAATTGGACTACCCGAAATTTCATTTTTGGGGCACATTGTAGACTCGGAAGGCATACAAAAGCAACCGGAAAAATAAGTCTGCATTGACAATTTTCCGGTTCCACGTAACGTTAGTGACGTACGAAAATTATTAGGGGTGTGCAACAAAAACCAAAGCACAACATGCAATTTGGAGGTGTCACGATCGCGTCTTATCCAACCATCCAGATTGGAAAGAGACGTACCGGGTGGTTCGACAACGGTGCTATTGGGAAGGTCAAAAAAATTACATCAGGTTATATGTCGGTGCGTGTCACTTATGTGCGTGCACGAAACCACTAAACTCACGTCCTACCAACCCAATGCAACCAAGAACCCCCCGGCAACCATGGGAAGTTATCAGTGTCGATCTCTTGGGCCCATACTCACGCTCTGGTAAAGGAAAATGGTACATACGGGTAGCAACCGACTGTTTTAGTAGACGGACCGAGGCTTACTCCTTAGGAACCGCAACCTCTAAAACAATAATCGAAACGTTAGAGCGCGAGTTCTTTTCGAGTTTCGGTTACCCCCCGCGTGTGTCCCAGTGATAACGGCCCACAGTTTGTGTCAAACGAAATGATAAACACGTTAGAACGCTGGGGGCATAGGGCTGGACGACTCCAGTCTACCACCCGATGGCCAACCCAGTCAAAAAACCATAATCAAGATTTAAAAAAAGGTTTACGCGCACGACTAGTCGAGGGCAAACATAAATCTTGGGACACAAAACTACCTTCAATTCTATTTTCAATACGGAACAGGTATAACGAACAGACATGCTACGCACGGTCCTTGTCCTGGGCAGGGAATGCAAGAGACCCGGAGATTGGGCGCTGTCTAAAGCTGCGCCGGTACACATCGATAAATCACAGGAAGAGAGGGTAGAGCGGGAAAAACATATTTTAGGCAAAAAGGTAGTGGTAAAGCCAAGCGTAAACACCGGCACACCGGTGAAGTTCGACAAATGCGACGTAGTCTACTACAAAGCACACCACTTATCTAAGGCACATAAAGAATTTCATGCCGGGTTTGCACCAAAGTAGTGGGGACCGGTAAGGCTAGTGAAGCAGGTCGGTAAAGGAGTCTTTCTAACCGACCAACAACCGCCGCGAAAAATACATGTGTCATGCCTGAAACGTGCACCAATAGGGCAGAATTAAATAAACATTTGTCTGTACTAACCATCATTTACAGACAACATGACCGGCCAACAGCAGGAGAAGTGGCAGCAGGTGGCCAATCTTATCCAACGGCTGGGGCTGGTGTCCAGTGGCCAGGATGAGCCGCCCATGACGACCATGACGACCCGCCAACTCCTGCAGGATCCAGTGCGGGTGGCCATCTACAACCGGGGCTGGGCGGACCGCACAGCGGACATCCAACGGAGGCTGAGGCCGCAGCGACCCACATCGACACCCAGCAGCCGCACCCCGTCACTGCCACCACCACCGGAAACCACTCGTGCCCCCGTGACACTTGCGGAGCCGACACCGGTACCCAAGCCAACGGGGGTACTCCCCGGTCCGACGGTAAGGGTGAGAACGGAGGCGCAGCAGGCTCGGAACCGCAGGAAGTTCCAGCAGCTGAAGGAGAAGAGGAAGGCCAAGGAAAGAGAGGCAAGCCAATAACACCGGCTTGCCAAGCAACCTGCGCCAACCTCAGACCCGAAAGCAGCCTGCGCTTGTCCACACGGACACTACCGTGCATATCATACACGTTGTTATTGTGCTACATTGTGAGCTTCACCCTCATCCACACTCCACCAACGCATCAACGACCGGCTTACTGCGATCACAGCACCAGAACCGCCATAGCCGTGTCATGACCATATACTTCTCTCCAAGACTCCAAATATCTTTTCATCAAATCTCGCCGAAGTAATGGAATTTTTCTTTGAAAGCCCTTACAAGATGATTATGACACTTTGTTAACACCAAATGCTTAGTACTAACAAAAGCATGACATTGATTATGAAGTTTTTTTTCATAACATACCAAATATCTAAACAGTAAATAGACTAGGTTAAGATGATGTGTAATTGTTGTAAAACATTTAATATTATTGTTCTTTTTTTTCTATTAAGAACCTGAAGATTCTTCTAAATGATAAATGAGTATACCATGGATGCTAAAATCAAAAAAAGTAGTTTTTTTTACTGAACCATAATTGATCGGTAAACACTAACTACCCATCTAAATAAGTATATATTATTTATTTTGGTTAAAATAAATACATTTTGTTATTTATGTCGTATATGAAAACTTTTCATACCTTTATAACTTACATTTTAAACTGGGTTTCTTTGTTTTTGATTGTACTTAATAATCTAAGTGTTTCTCTGAACCACAACCACCAAGGTATATAGGTATATGAATCAGGTTTGGCGTTCGTCAATAAATTGGGAGTACCATCTACTGAAAATTTGGTTGGTCAAGAAATTTAAGAATTATTAATAATATATTATACCTACCATTGAAACTTTGTTCAGCTGGGTCATGAAACATAGCATCTGATGGAGTTATGGACGCGCACTTAGCGACTCCGCAACAAATAAAAATTACAAGACGAGATTACTTTGGCTCAAAATTATATTCTTTATTTAATTGTAATTGTGTTTTAATGAGAGAAATACTCTAAAATAGTCTGTAATGGTAATGCGTTTCTCAAAGACTGACAGTAACGAGCTGGTCATCCGGCCAAAAGAATTTATTCAGCAGATTCCCTAGACCAATCGTATGGAGAAGGGAGTCCCACTCAAATGTTTCCCCTCACTTATTAGTTTACAATATGTCTTTATTATTTAACTACTAAATACACTACACAAATACTACAATATATATAGAATAATGTTACTGACAGTACCTATTCAGTGGGTCTTAACACCCCCTCTCCCACCCTTAAATGGAACTTGGGGGCTTAATAATCCCAATTTTCCGCTAAATAACTTAACCTAACTGTATTATTTCAATCATTTAATGAAAGCTCAGTTTTTTAATTTATTGTTTATTAACATAAATGGACCTCCCCTAAGTGATTGGAATCCTGAAGATTATGTAAAAAGTAGGCTCTTCAATCATAGGTGTGCAGAAGACACTAGGACCAAAATAGCAAAAAATAACATGGACAAAGGTGAGAGAAAGGTTGTCAAAAAGAGTCTTTGGCAAATTTTGTAAATTATTTAGTTTTAAAATTTTGATATAATGTTAAGTACAATATAAACATCATATTCTAATTGTTAATTTTTTACCAATTTAAAAAAAGAAAGTTATTTTTATTATTTTTTATTAAAATACTATTAAATTTGTTTATACCTTTTCAAATTTATTTATATAAGCCTATTACACTTTAATATACAATTTGTTTGAAAAAAAAAATTATATTTTTATTCCTTTTTATTATGTATAGGTTCTGTTAAAGTTAATTGTATATATTTTGTATTTTTGGTAGTCACCTTTTTGACTATTTGGGAGCGTGTAAAAACCTGGAATGTTAAAATCTGGACTGTAAAAATCTGGACAGTAGAAATATTATTATGCTTTTATTTTACAATTATATTTATATTTTTTGCCTTTAAAATCAGTCAATTATTGAACTTTCCATAGAAGCTTTAAATACGTCATAGATAAATCAAGAAATAATATGATATAAAATTAATACACATTTTTCTTTTATATAAAAGTTTATACTTGTGAACATGGGATCCAGAAAATAGCTGAATACTCGCGAGTGTCGTTTTAAGTGGTAAACTCTGATAAGTTTTGATCCTGATAATTAATACACAATAGTCATTATCATAAATTCTTAAATGCACGTATACCCTCTAGTATTTTTGCCAAAACAACACTGGGTAGTAATATTGCATACTATTGTATCAGCCAATAGCCATATAGGTAAATATTTTATATTATATAATAGGTTAGAGTATTGGTTAGAGAACAAGGGCTGAATTTTTTTTTGAAAATTTTTTTACTTATATCATGCAATTTTAGAGTCTAGTAGATTACTAGAACACAAATAAAATGCTTTGAAATTTTTTTTCTTAGACAATTTCCGAGAAAACAGATGTTACCATATGGTCACACTAGGCTACAATGAGGTGCAATTTAGTAATATAATGTGTATAAAGTAATAAATCAAAAATATTCATAGTTTTGTAGTACTTTTTATTCATCTGTTATTTTATTTAATTTAGAAATATTAGTTTAAGTAATGACAATCTCAAGTATTTTTAGTTATAATATATAAGTAAATTTAAAAAATATAAAAAAAATCATTTGGTATGAAATGTTTTAAAACAATCAACACAAAGTCCAACATCGCACTTATTACACATTGTTCTAACTGAAGAAGTGCACATTGCTCCAGCACATCTTTTTCTTTTACCATCAACTGTTGGTATGACATGATGGTCAAGGCGGTCAAAACGAATACCCTCTGGAACTCTTGATGATGTGCTACTGGGTCGTCCTTTTCTTTTTGGAGCGTTTTTGAAACGTGTTAGATATTCTTGAACAATTGATCGTCTAAATTCTAACTGAGTAACCTTATGACCAGAATTAACATAAAGTTTCCATGAATTGGTTATAGCAACATCAATCAGCCATGTAAATAAAGACCACCACCATTTTTTACCTCGAATTCCAATTCTATGGCGAGCTATGTTTTCATCCATTTGGTCTGTTCCACCTATGTATTTATTGTACATGAAAACACAATTTGGCATATCAACTTGCACAATTTTCTTTTGTGTTTTAGAGTACCTTTTGGTCTTACTTTGTGGGGTTACCCCGTGTACTGTTGAACCAATGGTGACTATCCCATTGTCTTTCCACCTTGCAAAAAACACTCCACTATTTTTTTCAATTGCCGATTCTGATTCTCCTCTTTCTTTTTTTTGCATAATTTTTTGATTTGACATGGGGCAGTTTTTGGGCAATCTATTTTCTCTCATAGTCCCTGTACCGTGATAACCATCGCGTTTTAAAAACTTTAAAAGTTTTAAAAACTTGAGCAAGTTGAGGCCAGTAAAAAGGTTGTCAAAATAAAATCTGTATGGTAAATTTTTCTTTTAATTAGGAAATTCTTCAAGCATTTTTATAAATGGAGCTGTGCATTTCCCAAACATGTTTTCGTACAATACGTTTCTTTTCGGACTAATTCCTTGGTAAAAATCAAAATTAATGAGATACCCGTCTGGAGCATTCAAACACCAAATTTTATATCCAAATCGGATTGGTTTGCCGCGTATAAATTGCTTGCAGCTATGTTTTCCGAAATATTTGACCATTGATTCATCGAAATTTAAATTTTGAGAGGGTACGAAATGATTTAAAAATTTATCTTTTAACATATCCATTACTGGCCTCAGTTTCCAAACTTTGTCGTTTACATTCATTTCATTATTATTAGCACAATGTATAAAACTCATAATTGAAATAAAGCGATCTCTGCGCATTGCTTCTTTGACTAATGAATTCCCTACATCATCTGATGAGTCCCAATAAAACCGTTTCCCAGGAAGTCCATTATATCCACTTAGTACCAATATACCAATAAAGCATTTAATTTCATCATTAGTGACATCAAAATCGTTAACATTTTTGAAAAGTGCATATAATTTGGATTGCTCTACTAAATATGAAATAAGTTTATCGTCAAAAAAAAGTTCAAATATTTCAACCGGTCTCATATGCGAATATTTAGAAAAATCTGTAGTTGGGAAATTCAAATCAGGCATTTCATAGTCACCTTTTACCCAATCAGTAGTTTTTTCGTTATCAGGTATATTGAAATCAGTGCAGTCTTCCAACTCGTCAACAGTTTCGAGTGCAATCGTATTTTCATTTACAATGTTATTTCCACTTTTCAACCTAAAAAAAATTACAAATATTTTTAAGTATATTGCATTTTTTCATTGCAGAACATAATATATTACCTTATTTCTGCTCCGGCAGTTAATTGACGAGCTGATAAATTACAAGTATATGCACCTTCATCTTCATTGCCTGAATCTTCATCAGTCAATACGTGAGGGTCTGGTGGTTCAATAAATATACTTTCGACATCATTTTCGTCATAATTTGACTCAATGATGTCGAGAACTTCTTGTAAGGTGAATCCATCTCTGTAGTTCAAAAAAATAATATTTATAATACTGTATACATGATAAAAATTATATTTTATAAGTTATTATAGAAAAATATAGGTAGTATCAATATATGTTTTGTTTTCAACAGACAAAAGCCTAAAGCACCCATACAGTTACGCACACATTTCCAAGTACACTACACAGTATGTAATTGTAATGTGAAAGTAGAACCTTTTTTGTATTAAGCATACACACACAAAGATTCAAAAAAAATATTAATAATACATTAGAATAAAATATTTATATAATATAATTATACTTACTCTAGTTGAAAATCCATTGCCGTAAAAAAATCTGTAGCTGAACAAAACGGAATAATCGTTATAAATATTATGAACTTTCGTTAGATGGTAACCACACTACTAGTAAAATCGATAAACATACGGAGAATCAATTGCTATTATTAGATAAGAAAAATATAACCACAGACGTTGTTTACGTCTGACTTATAAATAGATTTTGTTGTGTACCATATGGACACACCAGGCGTTGAAGGGTTAAAATATATTATTAATTTTAGTGTATTTTATATACTGTCCTATAGTAGACATTTATGAGATAAGACAATTGATATTGCGGGTTAATTTGTCTACTACCTCAGCTCTGTATTATAAAAAAAACAACTAGAAAAAAGGCTGGGCACACTCAAATGTAAAACCCTGGGTCCGCCAATGCCACCGTTTATAGTATAATACCCTTGACCTATTATAAATGGACTGAGCGTTTCCTATCTTTCGTGTGTAACAATCTTGGGCATAGAATGAGATAGAACTAGTACTCCTATTTGGAAGAAAGGAAAGTTATTTCTTTTGTTCAATGAAAAAATACAACTTGTGATCTTCATAAATTGTTTATTTTTCACAACTCTACTGATAATTAAGGTATGCAGCTTTCTAGGTACAAAATATAAATATATTTAATATTATTAATTATAATAATGCACTTAAATAAGGAAAGTGTAGATATTATTATATTAAATTTAAACAAATGCATCGTTATTAAAAAAAAAATATTGGTGTTTAAAATGTATAATTTTTGTAAGCGAATTCTTTGCTGAGGTTGTGATTGATTTTTATTGTAATGATGAATGCGAATTTTGAAGTAGTACAAAAGAATATTTTTTATTAGCTGAAGTAAGTGGTTATGTAGAGGAGACCGGTTTATGAATATTTAGAATAGTTTATTTATTTCTATTATTGATGTTGTTGTTTTGAATAGCCAACAAATAGTCCTTTTCAACTTTTTGGATCCCACTTCTTACGTTTTTGTTTTGTTATGTGTGTATAATGTATATACGTCAGTACCAAAAACTGGTAAATGTTTAATATCTGAAATGACCTTATAATATAACTCGTATGGTCAGTTATTTTTAACGGAACTGGTTCCTGTTCGTAAGCAACTATTTTTACAGCCTCTGCCCAAAGCGAGAGACATCCAGATTTTTCACATAAATCATTGTCTAGCATGTAAAAATTTTCTAACAGTATGTCCGTCATTGGTTGTGCCAGATCCTAAATGACAAAAATAAAATAAATTAGTTACTGATATTAAAAACTTGATTTGAACTGATTTTTTTGAAGATGTCTAATACCTCGTAACACCTTATCTATTAGTAACCCCATATCCGATCGAAACTTTTCTTGGATATGCTTTTTTTTTCCTGCTACTTGTTGTTTATGTACTAATGAACTAATCTTTAAAAATACAATGTCATTATTCTATATATAATTTAAATAATTAAATACTTTTATGTACATACTCTCCGCGTTTTTATTTGTATAAGATAAGCCACGAGTAAAAGGCATTCTAAAAATCGTATATGAGCATGTAACACAAATGATCCAAATTTAAAGTTTTCCGTTTTAATCTGTCGCTCGAAAACTTGATCTAAATTATTCATTTGTGACGGTTTACATCCACATATATAACATGTTTGACATGATGTAATTGTTACTGCACTACAAACCTGAGGATCCAAATATTATTTAAAAATAGTCTACATTAATAAAATAAATTAACATTACCTTGCCAACAATCATTGAAAAAATTAGTGTATGCTTTATGCTTATAATTGATATATCATTAATATAAGTTATTGTTTTAGTTAATCTAGATATTTCATCTTCAATTTCTGTATACATTTCGATTGTTTTATCATTATTTTCTTTCATAAAAATAAATTTTAATGGCCGATTATTATGTAATATTTCTATACTTGATACAATTCGTTTTGTAGTGTAGTTAAGAATATCTTGAAGTGGTACATAGCAACTTTGTTCAGTATAAACACAGTTTTATGGGTAACGTTCTGTTTTTTCTTTTTTAATATGTTCATAAGCAGGATATATATTGGCATTTCGTTTAATTGCATCGCATCTAATATTTATATATTGTTGTTTTGTTAGTTAATTGTCTAAAATAAATGCTAAAGCTTCCTGTGGTGAAAAAGGAATAACTTTTTTAGTTTTTAAAGATTTTTTCATTTTCAACGCTCTTTTTGGAGTAGATGCACTTTCTAATAGATTAGCTAACGTTATCTTTCCACTATTATACAATTTTGATTTCGCTACAAATGTTATTTCTGGCGTTGTGCATATTTTACCTATTGCCTCTGCTTTACGGTGTTTACCTCGAATTTAACTTACTGTAAACAATTTTGTTGGTCTTCCTACTTTTTGTTTAATTTATTTATTATATTGATTTGGAATTTCAAACTGTTTTTGCAACCATAATAAATTTTTTTTCGTAAACACATTAAATGTACTATTTCTAACTCTCCATTTTCGTATCCATATAACAATAAAAGTTCGTACTAATGATTTTATATTATCTTCGTAACTCCATGACCATGAATGTCGTTCATATTATTTTTTCAATATGTTCATTGAAAAATCTCTACTATCATTTGAACTCGCATGACTTGGAGCAGCTAAGAAGAAAATTAAAATTAGGATACATCGGACATTTTTGGAATACCATATATGTATACAAACAAAAAGATACGTAGGTATTCATACTATAATTAAAATATCAAACTGTAAAGTTACTAAGAGTTACAAAAAAATTATCTGTTCTTGAATTTATAAATATTAATAAATTAGTGTTTTTTGATACTGCTAAATTATACAACTACAAATGTTTTAAAATCGTGTAATTATTAAACTTACCTATTACATTGTGATATTCCATACTTGATTTTGAATTATTTTGCTCAATATTGATAATTTTATGTACGTATAGACATATCTGTTACACGATCGCACTTGGTTGTTCAACTGAACACAGATAACGAAAAATTGTTTAATTATTTGACTCGGTTAACGAGCTCATTATAACGATAATGGGAACAATTAGAGATAGTCTTGATATGAAAATAAAATATCGAACAACTATACTATATAATTGTATCATAAGAATTTACGTTATAAACCATTTAAATTCGGACTTTTGGCGTGCTAACATTACCTTTATCCCACTGTGCGTGTGAAGCGAGTTTCATTATTATATAAGATTCGTATATTATATAAGAGTTCGTGCCAACACACGCTTAAGCACAAATAATGTTCTTACCTAAAAGTTTTATAATAGGTTAATTCACTCTAGTATTAAAACTAACAGCACACTATTGAAACTAGTGAACGACAATTTGGTATGTCATGCTTGGCTGATGTTGCAGGTATTGTGTATAACAGTGTAATAAGCCTTTAAACTTGATTGATCAATTGACGTGAAGTTTCTGGCAACATTTTAAATATTTCAACAATATCTTTTATTGTTGCTGAGTGATTATCAGAATTTAAAAT